TGTAAAAAAAGTTCAAAATAATATATTTATAATTATATAAATTATGTATAATATTATTTAATGTAACTCACCATTAAGTATCACAATATTATTATTTGAATTCATCATATAATAAATTGTTACAACAATTCAATAGTTAATATAATTTTTGATTTTTTTTAAATTTATTATTTGATTTAGTTTTTTTTATAAATTAAACTAGCAGTAATTTTTATTAATAAAATAATTTTCATTCATCTTATGAATGATTAGTTTTTTTTAAAAAAAAAGTCATTTAATATATTATTTCCGATGAAAAAAATCATTGAATAATAACAATTAGAAAATATTTTCTAAATGACTAATCATTTAGTATTTATATTTGTATATATTTTTTTTAAATGTTTACTTTTAATTTGTTATTTTGTAATATAATATAATGCATTTATTTTCAACTACTATCATTAAATACAATTTATTTTATTTTTTATAAAAAAATATATCCATAATATTATACAATAAACTTATTTGCTTATATATGTATTAAACAATTTGATGATTTTGTATTTTTAAAAATATTTTTTAAAACATAATATTATTTATATAATTATTTATTTATCTATTTTTTTTAATCTTATTGTATAAGTATAAATAAATATAAAAATTAAACCTAATAACTAAAAATTTTTATTATATATTAAAATAATAAATGTAAATTAGTAAATGTGTTAAATAACTTTTTAATTTATTAATTATTATTATAATATATTAAATAATAATTATTTAAAATAATAAAAAAACAAAAATATTTAAAAATTAAAACAAAAATAAAAGTTAGAAATTTTTTTTTATAGTTTTCTATTAATAAATATCTGTTATAAATTATTTGTATTAATTAATTAATATTACATACTATTAAAAAAATATTAATAAATTTATATGAAAATATCATATTATATTATATTTTAGTATTTTATTTAAATATGTTATATTAATGTATAGACAAAATAAAAATAAAAATACTTTTTATATTATAATATCATATTTTTAAGTAATATAAAGTATTATTTTTTATGCATTAATTTTCAAAATTTTTCATTTACTTTTTTTTGATCAAATTAAAATTAAATAGTTTTCAAAATAAATACAATAATATTATTAGTGTTTTTTTTTGAAATTATGAAATTTTATATATTAATCGGTTTTATTGTTGTGTTTGTAACCAATGGTTTGCATTCAATTAGTATCAAACACTACCCGTCGGTAACTGAGAACAACTGTGGTATCAGTCGGCAGTCATTGTTGATGAACGGCGTAAACCACTGTTTCAAGTGGTCATCAAATAATAATGTGACCACAAGTGTCCAAAACGGACGGTTAGCTCAACCTGGAGAGTGGCCTTGGATTGCATTCATTGATATATACAAAACATTTTGGGGTTTCAAATATGACAAGTATTTTCATAAATACATAAATTTATATTTAAATTAATTATTTATTTAAAATATAAAGTAAAATATAATCTATATTTTTTAAAAAAAAATAAATACTTAAAAAAAATTATCTTATAATTTCATAAATTAATTTTTTAAACAGTAAAATGTGTACAGGAGTTATACTAAATAACAATTGGATTTTAACAGCAGCGCATTGTATATTGTAAATATAAAAAAAAAATTTATACAAAATAATTATTAAATAAATTATATTATCAACAATTTAGTTACCGTAAAATTGTGTTTTTCCATTCCCCATATAGAAATGTCAAAATCATGGGAAATAATGCTAGTTTTCTCACAATAAGAAAAATATTGATTTTTCTTTTACTTTTAATAATAATTTCTCGCCCCCACTCCTGTTTTTATAAAATATATTTTCATGATATCCCTCACCCCTTTAAATTGGACGTCTCTAATTGTTCCGAAACCATTATGAATATGCTATCAATTACCAACGATTTATTGTTATATTATAATTATTATTATTATCGGTAATATAAAAAATATACCGTTTTTTTTAAATAGATTTATGTTAATTATATGTCATTATAGTTTCCTAGTACCCCCCCCCATTTTTGCTTTATCACATTTACTCGTTTAATTTACCAGGGGTGGTAAAAAATTTGAGTTTATAACGGTATAAATATTTTTATTTATTTTTTAAATTCCATATGGGAAATAAAACACATGATTTTATAAGTAATCATTTGAAATCAATAATCTATATTATTTATAAAAACTATTTATTTATTTTAATTAATTATATATAAAAAAAAAAAGTATCGATAATACAATTAGTGTACGACTAGTTCGCGATTATAGTCAACATACTAGTCATGTATACGGTGTGGATATGTATGTAATTCATCCAAATTATACGGTATTCATGAATACTAGACCCGGTTTAGAACAGGCATACGATATTGCATTATTGAAACTGTCGTCAAATATATCGATGACTACAACAACAATAACAGAGTTAACGGTTGGAAGATATCCGACAGTTAATGCCATTTGTTTGCCCGACAGAGACATTGTTAACACCGATAAAGAGTTGGCATTGTTTGCCGGTTTCGGTAATATTGATGAAAATTATGTCACAAATTTGGGTCCATTGCGTACGGGTTGGCTGCGTATGAATGAACCGACTAATACAGCATTGGATCGTTGGACTTATTTTATTAGAAGCAATAGATATCTTATAAATGATGGCTTAGGTATCTGTCCGGTTAGTATATAATAAAATACAAATAGAAATAATATTAATAATGTGTGGTTATGTGTTATGTGTAGTTATGTGTAGTTATGTGTAGTTATGTGAGGTTATGTGTAGTTATGTGTGGTTATGTGTGATTATGCGTGGTTTTGAGTGGTTATGTGTGGTTATGTGTAGTTATGTGTTGTTATGTGTAGTTATGTGTGGTTATGCGTGGTTTTGAGTGGTTATGTGTGGTTATGTGTGGTTATGTGTAGTTATGTGTGGTTATGTGTGGTTATGTGTGGTGGTTATGTGTGGTTATGTGTGGTGTATGTGTGGTTATGTGTGGTTATGTGTGGTTATGTGTGGTTATGTGTGGTTATGTGTTTTGAGTTTATGTGTAGTTATGTGTAGTTATGTGTGGTTATGTGTGGTTATGTGTAGTTATGTGTGGTTTATGTGTGGTTATGTGTGGTTATGTGTGGTTATGTGTGGTTATGTGTGGTTATGTGTGGTTATGTGTGGTTATGTGTGGTTATGTGTGGTTATGTGTGGTTATGTGTGGTTATGTGTGGTTATGTGTGGTTATGTGTGGTTATGTGTGGTTATGTGTGGTTATGTGTGGTTATGTGTGGTTATGTGTGGTTATGTGTGGTTATGTGTGGTTATGTGTGGTTATGTGTGGTTATGTGTGGTTATGTGTGGTTATGTGTGGTTATGTGTGGTTATGTGTGGTTATGTGTGGTTATGTGTGGTTATGTGTGGTTATGTGTGGTGGTGTGGTGTGTGTGGTTATGTGTGTGTGGTTATGTGTGGTTATGTGTGGTTATGTGTGGTTATGTGTGGTTATGTGTGGTTATGTGTGGTTATGTGTGGTTATGTGTGGTTATGTGTGGTTATGTGTGGTTATGTGTGGTTATGTGTGGTTATGTGTGGTTATGTGTGGTTATGTGTGGTTATGTGTGGTTATGTGTGGTTATGTGTGGTTATGTGTGATTATTTATAGTTAAGTGTGGGTGTTTGTGTCTGTGTGTAAAATGTAATTTTTATATTAGTTTAAATACTTTAATTTGAATTATAAAATATTTTCATAAAAATTAGGGTGACTCGGGTGGACCATTGATTCAGTATGAGTTTGATAGTCAACGGGCAATATTAATAGGTTTGGGTATAAGGTATTGGCCGGCAAACATATCCACTGGCTGTCCGGCTAGAGTTGCCGACGCCGGCAATATATTTGTACGAATATCTAAACACATTGATTGGATTATCAATACTGTAGCAGCACACTAACAAATATATATACATACCTACACACACATATACACACATATACACATATACACACACATACACACACATACACACACATACATACACATACACATACACATACACATACACATACACATACACATACACACACATACATATACATATACACACACATACACACACACACATATATACATATATATATATACACCTACACACACCTACACATACATACACAAATACAAACAGACACACACATACATACAAATACACATATAAAAATTATAAATTTATTAGTAATATGTTTAATAATGATTGATTACAATTATTTTAGCACTATTTTATATTATAATTATAGTTTTTATGTTAATAACTTGTTAAAACATGTACTTGTATATTATATATCAAATTTTTAAAATAATAAAAAATTATATACATATTTGTAGCTAGAATCATACTTTTGCCGCAATTTTTTTGAAAAAAATAATTTTGATCTATTATATCTTATTTTGGATGCTCTATACAATTCTAAACTTTTTAAAAAAAAAATTTGATTTTGTGCGCCATTTTGTCTATGTTCCCGAAGAGATATCAAAATTTTGATGCAACTTTTCTATACATTATTAGTAATCCTCTAACCGAATCTGAAGTCAGAATTTCAAAATTCACAAAAAAATATGCTACAGATACACGCACACACAAAAAAGGCTCGTATAGATTTCAGAAAACAAAACTTTTTCAAAGTTTTTTTTGAAAATATTAATAAATTTATATGAAAATATCATATTATATTATTTTATATTATTTTTTAAATAAGTTATACTATAACTGTTATAGTAATGTTTAAACAAAAAAAAATAAAAATACTTTTTAACTTAAAATATCATATTTTTAAGTAATATAAAGTATAAAGTGTTATGTATTAATTTTCAATAATTTTATATTATTATTATTTTTTTGATTAAATTAAAATTAAATAGTTTTCAATATATATATATAATAATATTATTATTAGTTTTTTTTGGTTGAAATTATGAATTCTTATATAT